AAAAAAGAAAGTTCTTGGTACCGCACTAGGCTGTTCATATCATTTAATGTAAGTGCCTTTTACGTTTTTCAGGGGTCCCGTTGTAAGAGTGGATTCTGCTGGTCCATCAACTGGCAACATTTTGCTGTCTCCTGATAAAAGACGCCTTGTTTGGGATGTAGGTCAGTGCATCAATAATTTTCGTATTTACTTATTTGTTAGGTTTTATTCGCAAGGTATTGCAGAGACTATACCACCAGAGATTTTACCAAAAAAGAAAAGCGCTCATATTCGAAGGGGAAAATACGAGGCTGACTCGCACGAAAATTCATGCCAGATCCCCACGGAACCCACGCACGCACGCTTCGCCCGCCAGTTTTAATTTCACGAGCTCTACCGCTGGTGGGGTAGCACTAATGAGAGCTTGCTTGCAGACCCAAGTGTTTTGACCCAGAACACAACGCAGTGACTCTATTCGGGGCTCGAACGCGAACATTGCTGTACGGTTTCCAGCATCTTATACATTGTATTTGTAGGTCAGAAGTTTCCGTCCAAATCCCTTGAAGTCTCCCTGAGTGCCACTATATTTTTCGGTGAGAAGAGGCAACAACAGGTGACGGCAGACGGTCAGCAGCCTACCTTTGTAGAGGATCCTTTCTGTACTGGAATCAACTCCTATGCGCAGGTGAGTAACAATTTTTTTGAAGGTACACGAAAACGACAATACCTTACAAGCTTTCTTGGAAGAGATGAGGTGTTAGGAAAAGTAAAGACCAGATATAAGGCTGATAGAAAAGCCTGCGCCAACTACGTCACCAGTGAGGCCAATCACGCACCAATCACGATGTGGTCATTCGCGTTTTCCCCTTTTACTTGGGTGTTTTTCCGAGGTCTATTTTGGTACACATGTCATGAAGGTTCTTTTGGAGATTCAATGAAGACGCCTCCATTTATCATTAAAGTCCTCTCATTAACGATCGTGTTCATCCTATTCGGTGTCTGACGCTATTCAAAAACATTATGGGCTTGAGATTTCTGTCGCGCTAACAGCTGATGAGGGCGAAGCACAAATCAATTGTCACCCAAAGAAATTGAGAGCGAATGATCCAATTGTTTTAAAATGAATCTTCTAGTCATTCGAGACTCAATAAGACGGGTACGTTTTTATTTTATTCTGTTTACGAGCGCACTCAGTTGGGCGATACCCTTAACTTGCAATCCATGACGGAATAGATAGCGAATAGTGTAGTTAACCCTTTAACCCCTAAGAGTGACTAACATCTAATTTCTCCTTACAAAATCACTACTGAATCACACATTAATGTCATGAGAGTAAAGGAAATGATCACCAACTAAAGAAACTCTTGATGATTAGACAAATTCTCCTCATCAGCACCTTAGTAAACGTATAGAGAACAGTATGGAGAATATGAACACTGATGTTAGGGTGTAAAGGGTTAATTAGATTGTAGCATTTGTGATGGAACATCATACAATTTCTACCAAAAGTCGATAGCCATTCTTTTTTTTTTTTTTTTTCCCAAGCAGGTCTATTTCAAGATACAAGACTTCACTTTCTCAGGATGTGCCATAGATACCAGGTCACTGGCAGTTTATCCCATAGGGAAATTCAAATTGAATATCTGTAAGTATCAGTGTTGCTCTCTTGGTGACACTCTGACCTGTTGACATGTTCTCAGGATCGAGAACAAAATTTCTATTTTTAAAAATCTCTTCTTGTAATTATTTCCGTGGCAGTGGAATTTGTGAAAGCGGCACGCTCGTGACGAGACGAAAAAAAACATCTTTCTCAAGTTTATCAGTGAGCCTCGAGGACTCGACCCAGTTTTCCTGGCTCACCCCTGAACTCAATCAACATGAGTCGCGCATTAATTTCCTCGTTGGGTACGTTTCTTTCTTTCTTTCTTTTTTTTTTTTGTAGCATATGAGTTCTTATCGGCAGACTACAAGATATGGAACACCAATGGTGAAGCCTTGTTCGCATTCCCTCCTCCAAAAGCAGAGTCACTGTGATGAGAACGCGCAAGGCATTTTGAACAAAGATTTAGTATAAATAATAATTTATTTCATACTTCTACATTCTGTGTAAACTTTCGACTAACAATTATGTGACTGGTCAGAGGCTTTTTAAGGTACAACATAAAACTGTAACACGACGACAATCGAAACTACTAAAAAGATTTCGGGTCGTTTCATTCATATTTGCCAGTACATCAAACAACTTTCACACGAAGTTTCGCGTTTGGAAAAGTCATTGTCATTTAGAGTTAGTATGAACGAACAACACTGATGATAACAACAACAAAAACATCGACAATAGCAGTAATGATAATTATAAAAACAACAATACTAATAATTGACTCGACTGTAAGAGGAAAACGGAAGCCAAATGTTGGTCCTCTACATTACATTAAAGAATTGTGAAATTAATATAAAATAAAGATATTGCTTGTAAAACCTCGTAGTACCGTCTGTTTAGCTTGCAGTCTACTGTTTGGATTTCACCTTACAGTCCTTCTACTACTCTCCTTCACAGCCGTTCCTAGACTCGTCACGCAACTTTCCTCCCAAAAGAAGGGAAGGAACGTTGCGTGACCGAAAAGAGTACAAGAACTGCTGTGAAGGAGAATACTCTTATACAGGCGCGGCCGCCTAGTACACAATCAGCAGCTGCTTATGAAAAAAAGTTATTGAAACTCCTGAAATGGTAGGGAAAGTTAGAAAGAGAACATCCAAGCTGTACTTTGGACGAATTCTTACACGATTTGAGAACTGAATCTTGCTATTAATCAAGATATTGTATGAAAAAAGTATCAAAATATGCGGAGAAATTTGTCTACATGACACGATGTAGCTTTTTTACGATAGTCAGTCATTCACTTGTTAATTTTTTTCTTAAGCTAAAGTTCGTCGAATTTCTTGGCTCCAATGATACCTTCTTCCAGAAACTTGTAGTAAATATGCGACAGTAGATCATCAAAACCTGGTGGAAGTCTGAGGAAAAACAAATGAAAATCAAGGACTTCTAGTTCTTGGTACAACCTCCTCTTTCAATGTGGCTTAATACAGGATTATGCTTCTTTACGTCGTGGTTAGATCATCCATGAAAAAGGGTGCAATATAATGTAATTTGGACGAAAATTACCCTTGTGAGTTTCTCAGGAGTCAAGAAATGAATTGAACAAAAAAGCCCGTTATCTTACATTTCTTCGCCTGATTGCCTCTCCATTAAATCATTTGCATTCATTTTTGACACAACCGTTCCGTTTGGAAGAGAGACCACTGACATCACGGGAAACCTGCAAAGAAAATTTCGTGAGAAACCGTCGTGTATGCCTGGTATAATGATATCTACTTCGAACGCGCGTGAGACCCTCCATAAACATTTCCCAATAAACAATAACAATAACGTCATACTTACCTAAGAGATGTGTAAACAAAGAGACTTACCCCCCTCCCCCTCCAACCCTCCCATATTGGTCTTGTTTTCGCGAGGTCATTTCTCGTTCTTGAGCAGAGATATATCTCAGTGATATTTAAAAATTGGTTCATGTTTAACGTGCGTATATAGAGTTATGGATTCACGCGGGAAGTTTGGAGAGCACGAGAGAGACTTGATAGTTGCTCTCGGCGGCACCACGAGAAACTCTAGCTTCAGCGACATCAACAACAACAGAAAAGGAAGCTAAGAAATAATTATTGCAAGTTCACTGAGTTCAGGGCACAGAAGTCTGATTGCAGGCGCGCGTTCTGATATGACGGTAATGCCAAAGGTTTCGATTTTTATTAAAAAACTTAGTTATCACCACGTGCTTCCACATAAGATCAAGAGATCTCAAATAGCACTACAGTGCACCATCTTGCCAGATGGTGTTTCTAAAATTTTGATTTTTTTCTCCTTTTTTTTTTACCAAAACAGAAAAAAAAACAACAACAAAACAGAACAGCAAAAACAAAAAACAACAACAACAACAACACCGACACACTGACAAAAGGTCGGTCAGAAGAGGGGAAACAAAACATGTAATGGGAATGGCTTGGAAAATGTTTGTGGGTTACAAGAAGGAGCGAAGCTTTACTAAGATATTCAGTTTGTTAGTTTTATCTGCTCTTGCTAATTTATAGATGCCCTATACAGCTGTATCTTAGGTATAAAGTGTCCTCACACAAACCTTTTCGGTTTCAGTGAGGTGGGCAATGACGGGAAGCAAACGAGTTCATTTCCAAAGTAAGTATTACGCCTTGGGGAGTATATTAAATTATTTGAGAAAGTTTATCGTTCTGTGGTGAACGGAAAAGTGCTAATACATAACAACGGGCATAATCCGATTCCTATGAACTCAAGATGTTTTTTTAAACTCTTGGATTGACCAATGAATGTATCGAGTAACAGTTTCAGCCTACTTGTAAATATCCAGATGTGCCTGGGCTGCTTTAGTCACCTCCAAGTTGGTCCCATTTGCTGCTATATCCTGTGAATACGATGAGTGAAGAATCTTAGAACTTCCTTATAGAAATATTCAAATTAAAAAAAAAAACAAAACAAGTGAAGAAGTTTATACATTACGCAGAAGCAGAAGGAAGGCTTCCTTTTGCTTTAAGGAAGAAAAAGCAAAAAACAGCCAATGAACTGATGGAACGACGAAACTGCGAACAGACAAGCGAGCAGCAGTACATATTCTAGAAACAATATGCCTTTTTAGTTACAAACCTTTAGCTCTGCAACAAGTGTCCAGCTGCTGATGAATTTCTTCTTCAACATGTGGACCACGGGCGGGCTCTCCAACGGACCTTCTCGGAGAGTCCGCCCCGAACCTGTGAACTCAAGGCAAATCAATCTTCTAAGGTCGCGCTTTAATTGATAAACGTGAACCAATTCACACAAATCACTGCACTCTTTCCAACATTGAATAACTCTTGTCAAATCTCGCTAACTTTCGTTGTTTATCGTCGACTAGCATTAACTCTCGTCGACAAAAAAAAGGGTGATTGGTATAACAAGCGACCTGACGTTCTATTTTCTTCTCGCATAACATGAAGCACACTCCGTTGAGCCTGGGGGAGGGGGGCGAGGG